GCCCGCGAGCAGTTGAGAGCGAACAGTCTTAACATGCTGGGTATTGTTTCTGTAGTTGTTGTTGTTGTTGCTGCTGTTGTTGTTGGTGTACTTGGTGTTGTAGTAGTTGTTGTTCTTGTTATTGTTAGTTGGGTTTCCAACTATAACAAATACGGGTTGTTCCTTTCACCCCGCCGGTAACCATTGTATGTTTCAAATAAAATGTTTTTCCCCGAGGTTCGCACCATGTTTTTCTACAAAGGAAAGCGAGGTGCCACCAAACTAGGATATTGGCCCCCAAGTTACAACAACAACGGTTCCACCCTGTTACTTCCTCGCAATGTGCTGCAACATCGCACTCTCGCGCGGGACGTCTTCACAATTTATACGGGAAGCGCGCTCTCGCGTTGGAACTTCTCACAATTAAGTCAGACGCCGCGCCCCTCACACCCAGGAGTCACTCTTTCGCTGCGGATTCCCGCACGACTTACTTTGTAATTGGCTATTGCTCGAGATTTTCTCGCGCTTCGTGCAGGACGCACGCTTCAGTAACCCACCTGCTCGACCTGGCCGCCTGGGCCCGCCTTCCGTCCCGCCCGTTAGGGTCTACCCGCCCGATCTGCCCGTTTGGTTCTGCCACGTGTTTTGTATTCTTGGCCCCCGTCCTGCTACTTTCTCTCGTGCTCCATCCTCCTCCATCCCCCTTTGTCCCGTCCTTCCATCCGTTCTTTCCTTTCCTGCCTTAGAGGCTGCACCAAATACACGTTGTACGAAAGAAGGAAATGTACCCCCAAAGAGGGTACGATCGAAAACGAAGAGGGCGGTCCTCCGGGACTTGGGAAACACATGTTGCTTGACACGAACGCGTATAAAAAAGCGAACATTCTGGAAACGAGTACAGTCGTTGTTGGTGTTACTGTTGTTGTGATTGTTGTTGTTGTTGTTGTTGTTGATGTTGTTGTTGTTGTTGTTGTTGTCGTCGTAGTCGTTGCTGTCGTTTTTGTTGATGTGGAGTTTTCATTTCTGAAGAATAATTATTGTTGACCCCCCCCCGTCTGGTGCACATGGTTTTTCAATTGAATTGCCCTCCCCGGGGCTCGCACCCTGTTTTTTATCAGGGAAAGTCTTGAGGGTCAAACTGTATCGTTGGCCCCGGTTTACAACAACCGCGGCTCCCGCCTGAGACTTCCTCATAATTTAGCCTGGACCCCCGCTCCCGCCCGAAACTTCCTTGCATTTTATTCAGGAGTCGCGCTCTCGCCGGGGATGTCCTGACAATTTAGTCAGGAATCGCTTTCCCGGCGCTCTGGAGTCGCGCTCTCGCTGGAGACTTGCTTGCAATTTACTATAGAATAGCGCCCTTGCGTTGGACTTTCGTGAAATTTGCTCAAGCGCCACGTTCCCGACACCCAGGCACCCAGGAGTCGCGCTCACGCTTAGGATTCCGTCACAGATTGCCCAGGAATCGGGATCTCGTTGCCCTTCGTGGCCCCGTTGCAGCCCTTCGTGGCCCCCTCGCTTTGTTTCGTGGCCCCGTTGGAGTTTTTCGTGGACCCCTCGTTGCCCTTCGTGGCCCCGTTGCAGCCCTTCGTGGCCCCCTCGCTTTGTTTCGTGGCCCCGTTGGAGTTTTTCGTGGACCCCTCGCTGCCCTTCGTAGCCCCGTTGGAGTTTTTCGTGGACCCCTCGCTGCCCTTTGTGGCCCCTTTGTAGCCCTGCGTGGCCCCGTTGCAGCCCTTCGTGGCCCCCTCGCTGCCCTTCGTAGCCCCATATATGTATGCGCTTCGTGGCTCCCGCTCGTCCGCGCCCGTGGTTGCCCCATATGCATGCCCTTCGTCGCCCCGCTGTCGCCCTTTGTGGCCCCCTCGCTGCCCTTCGTGGCCCCGTTGCTGCCCTCAGTGGCCCCGTTCTTGCCCTCCGCGGCCCAATATACGTATGCACTTCGTGGCCCCCGCTCGTTCGCGCCGGTTTGGGTCCCATGTGCATGCCCTTAGTTGCCCCGCTGTCGCCGTGTGTGGCCCCCTCACTGTCCTACGTGGCCCAGTTGCTACCTTCAGTGGCCTCATCGTTGCCTTCTGTGGCCCCGCATTATCTGCCTTTCGTGGCCCCCGCTCGTTCGCGCTCTTCGTGGCCCCATACGCATTCTCTTCGTGTCCCCGCTGTCGCCCTTCGTGGCCTACTTCGTGTCCTTCGTGGCCCTGCTGTCGTTCTCTCTCGCTCTCGCTTTCGCTCGTCGTCGCCGTCGTCGTCGTCGTCGTCGCCGTCGTCGTCGACGTCGTCGTCGTCGTCGTGGTCGGTCCCCTGTTCGTCCCTCTGGGGGTCGGGTCGACGGTCCGCGGCCGCCCGGCCGATCAGCGCTGCCGCTGGTCAGGCCGACGGTCCGCGGCCGCCCCGCCGCTTGCCGGGGCCCGGCCTGCAGGAAAGAAAGGTATACCCCCCAAAAGGGTTCGATCGAAGACGGAGAGGGCGGGTATCGAAGGTTTGGGAAATACGCGTTATTGGACACTCGAGCAGATAAGGGCGAACAGTCTTAAACATATTGTTGTTGTTGTTGTTGTTGTTGTTGGTGTTGTTCTTGCTGCAGGTGATGTTGTTCTTGATTTTCATGTCTAAATAATACTTTTTGCTCATCCCCCCCACCGGTAATTATTGTATTTGAAGTACAGAGCTCCTTGGGGGCTCGCACCTTGCTGTCTCTTACAAAGGAAAGTGAGGGTTCACCAAACTAGGCCCTTTGCCCCGGAGTTACAACAACAACAACAACAACGACTCCAGCTTGATACTTCCTCACAATTTATTCCAAGACCGCGCTCTCGCGTGGGACTTCCTCGCAAATTATGCAGGAATCGCGCTCTCGCGTGGGACTTTCTCGCAATTTACTCAGACGCCGCACCCTCGACACTCAGGAATCGCGCTGTCGCATTTGGACTTTCTCATGAATGACTTTGGAATTGCGCTATCGCTCGAGCTCTCCTCGCGATTCATGCAGACTTCAGCAACACGCCTGCTCGGCCTGGCCGCTTGGGGCGCCTTCCCGACCCGCCCGCTAGGGTCTACGCGACCGATGAGACCGACTGGTTCTGCCACGTGTTTTCTGCTCCTAGCTCCCCTCCTGCTAATCCGGTGCTCCATCTTCCTCCCTCCCCCTTCCATCCGTCCTTTCCTCCCCTGTTTCAGAGACTGCACCACTTACGCAACAGGTAAGGAAAATATGCCCCCAGAGGGGTACGGTCGAAGACGAAGAGGGCGGATACGGAGGGTTCGGGATATACGTGCTCAGTGGCACGCGAGCAGGTAAAGGCGAAACGGCCTAAACTGATGGTTGTTGTTATATTTGTTATTGTTGTCTTCGCTTTTGCTGTTGTCGTTGAACCTTCATTCTCGAACCTAGTTGCTGTAGAACCCCCCTTCGGTGACCATTGTATGTTTCAATTAAAACTCTTTTTTCGGGCCGTGCACATTCATTTTTGCCGGGGGAATTTAGATTCACCATGCTTTGTAGTTGGCCCCTGGTTTGCAACAGCCACACCAATACTACTGTTAATATCGTTCGCGATTCATGAAAGCGCCGCGCCCTGGAATCTCAGGAATTGTTGACGCTTCGCGAATCCCCACCAGCCCATCCAGAGGAATTGCTTCGATCAGGGAAGTGGACAGCACACAGAGGAAGCCATCATGAGACATTTTGGGATATCTTGAGCCATCTTGGAGGTCATCGTGGGCTCTCCCAGGCGCTCTCGGAGTCATCTTTATCAGTGCCCCCCCCAAGAGGCCAACACGTGACTAACACCTTCGTGAAATCAATGATTTGGCATTCTCGCCGAGGCCTCTTGGAGCATCTTGGGTGCCTCTGGGGGGTCTTTTGGGGCCTCTTGGGGGTCTCTTGGGAGCCTCCTGAGGGCATCCTGGGGGCCTCTTGGGGCTTCCTGGCCACCTCTTGGGGCCATCTTGGGGCACTCTGGGGGCCTCCTGGGCGCTTCTTGGGGAAACTTGGGTGAGATCGATCACGGGAGGGGGGGGTACTAATCAGAGTCCCCCCCCCAGGAGGCCAAAATGGTGCCAAAACCATCGTAAAACCAATGATTGTTGATTCTTTGCCAAGGCCGTTTTGGACGCTCCGACAGCTCGCAGAACCCCTTGTCCAGGTCCAGGGGAGGGGGTAGGGCAAGCTAGGTGCGCTCGCGTCATATCTGACGTCCTACCCCTCCCTCCTATCCCTTACCATGGCGCTGATTTTCTCTATCCGCGGACGCGTGTCGTAGCAGACCTGCGGCTCCGCGCGCGCGTGCGTAGTGGGTGGTGGTGCGCGTGCGTGCGTGCGTGCGTGTGTGTGTGGTTGTGGTGGTGGTGGTGGTGGTGGTGGTGGTGGTGGTGGTCGTGGTGGTGGTGGTGGTGGTGCTGGTGGTGGTGGTGGTGGTGGTGATGCTGGTGGTAGTTGTGGTGGTGGTGGTGGTGGTGGTGGTGGTGGTGGTGCGGCGCGGTGGTGGCGGGCGGATGGGCGCGCGAGAAAGAGGCCCGCGCTGGGGCGAGAACGCCATCTTGAACGACGGAGGCCAAACACCGATCCGAAAATGAGGCCCACGTTGCAGCGGGAGCACAATTCGAAACGATTCGGGAGCAGAACTGAGGCCGGCGCCTCAGCGAGAGCAGCATTTTGAAAAAAAACGCAGGCGAAAACCCAACTCCCGGGAATCCGGTGTGTAAAAAACCGTACGCGGGGGGGGGTCGGCTATTTTCAGGCCGCCATCGGGGGAAGAGGGAGAGTAGTATTCATATTGAGTAATTGTTGAGGGGTAAACCCCTCCCCGAAGGGGAAGAAGGATGGGTGGAAGAGGAAACGCTCTAAACCACCGACGCCCAGAGGGCTGGTGGGATTATGCTCCCGCGTGGGGCTTCCTCAAGAGTTACTTCGGAATCGCGCTATCGCTATTGATTTCGTTGTGATTCATGCAGGACTGAACCCTCAGTGACCTGCCGGCTCGACCCCGCCGTTTGGACCCGTTCGCCCGACCCGCCCGTCAGGGTCCTCCTCCTCCTCCTCCTCCTCCTCCTCCTCCTCGTCCTCCGTAGCCATTTTGGCTCAGGCCTTCGCGGCACTGTTGAGGGCGGGGGCTCCGCGAAGCTCGATGAGGTTCGGGACTCCGTGAAGGGATACCATCTAGAGTACAAAGAGGCGCAATGGCGTGCTCACGCTGTACGTCGCAGGTGCAATGCGGTCGCTGGTTCGGCGGAGCGTTTCAGTGGAGAAGCCTTGCGCAGAGCCAAGCCCTTGCTCCCACCTCGTGTCTTCCAGACCGAAAGGCAAGTCAAACGCCACGCTGACCAGCTTCGAATGGTTGCTCTGAGGTGGGCCCCATGTCTCCCTCCTGCCGACACTCTGTGTGCTGAGGCCGCTCCCTTCGTGCCGGGTGTGGCTCATGCGGATGGTTCTGTCGAGTTCCCAATTTCTTTCATTGAGTTTGGCCAGATATTGATGGGCGGTGGCGCTTGTTCTGGGTTGCTGCCCCCTTACGTACGTCCCCAGCGTCCTCGGCGATGTGGGTGCCTTCTCTGACTATTTGCGAGAGCAGATCTTGGCGCTGTGGGCCGCCCTCGCTGCTCAACGCGATTCTAGTTATTGGCTGGAGCAGCATGTATCCGAGTGTGGCGCTGCCGCTCGGGAGGGTTTGGTGATTGCAAAGATGCTTGAGCAGAAGAACGAACAACCAGTTGGGATTATTGAGACTGCCATGCTGTCACCTATGTCTCGTCTGCAGGTTGTGAAGAACGTTTCTGATGATGCGGGACGTTGCCTCGAGGAGCAGGCCCGCGTGAGCGATGCGAAGCTTGACGTTCTGATGCGCTCAGTCGCTGTGCTGGGCCAACAGGTTTCCGCTCTCCGTGCCGAGGTCACCGACGAGGTTCCCTCCGTCACGCTCGTCACCGCGAGGCTCGACGCGAAGCGGGGCCTGCTCCGCTGCTCCTGCGCTGAGCTGCGTGGCGCTGCGGAGCAGCAGCTGCTGCTGGCGAAGTCCTGTTGTGACGAGGCCATCTCAAAGCTGGACGCGACCAATTCAACGAACTTGAGCCGTCTACTCGACAAGCCTATGTCTAAGCTGTGGGATGACTGCCAGCAGCTGGTCAACGTTTCGCGTGGTGAAGTTACGGAGTTCATGCCACATGTTCGAGACCAGATTATGTTAGATGCTGCGAATCAGGCTTCTGGATGCGTGCGAGATCAGATTTGTGGATTTTCGTCTTCGGTCCGTGATGACATCCTTGAAGATGTGGAGCGACGGTGCAAGGTGCAGAGTTGTCGGAGTGCCATCTCTGTGACTTCTGACTTGAAGGATCAGGTCGCTAGCAATGATGAGGCCCTTCACATATTCGTTGAGATGGTAAGTCCAATGCCTCCACAAAATGCTGAATTGATTTCCGATGCTGTAGGCATGACCGTCCAACAGATCGTGGAGTCTGGCATCATAAGTACCGCTGTGTGTGCCGAGCTTACCAGTCGGCCGGAGCGGGTTGCACCCGTCCAAGATAATCTTTGCGCGGGCGGTCGTCTCCCTGCGGCTTCTTCCTCATCGCCATCTTCTTCGGGCTCGCTTTTTGAAGACGAGGAGGCGTGCTCTGTATGCGGTGGGCTGAGATTACACGCGTACTCAGGATTGACTTGCGTCTGCCTGCTTGAAGAGCCGAGCTGGACTTTGTAGCCAGCTCTCTCAAGATGCTGATGCCTTCGCTCTGCGTGGACCTTATGCTGATCGTGGCGCTGCCCTTCATGTGCGGCCCGCTGGTGGTCGCCTTCGTGGGCTTCCCGTCGTCACCTTTCCTTGTGCTGCCCTGGGTCGCTCTTGTCCTGCCCTTCTTCGGCTACCTCCCTGGGGTATCTCTTGCCATTCGCCTGGCTGTCGCCTCCCGCGGTTTCGGTGTGGTTCGGCTCACTGCGTGAGCGGCGGATCAGAGTAGATTCTTCAATCAGACAGACGTTTCTCTTACGCTTGACTCCACCTCGTCCTCCTGCTCATCCGCCTTCTCCTCAACCTCCTCCTCGTCCTCTTCCTCTTCCTCCTCCTCCTCCTCCTCCTCCCGCCCCTCCGTAGGTCTTAACCCCCCTTCCCCGGTGGCAGTTTTTCGCCGCGGCCTCATGCTTGACAACAACTTCCCCCCCGCCTCCTGCGGCCGCCCCCCTCGCCTCTCTCTCTCTCTCTCCCTCTCTCTCTCTCTCTTTCTCTCTCTCCCTCTTGCATGCGAGCTGATTCGCGACGCCGTGCCCCGGTCTCGCACAAACGCGCTTGCGGCTTGCCTCTGCCGCGCTGCGACGTGAAACAACACATGTTCGACGCCATCAGGCCCGAGAGCGGTACCCAGAGGCCGAACTTGAAGGATCATCGCCGACCCCCCAATCCATAATCTTGGCGACCAAGTCCCTCAGGAGGGGACAAGCACACAGACACAACTAATTGTGGGGAAGTGGGGGGGAAGACGGAAACCAATGACATATGGAGACATATGGGGAACCCTGGGACTGTGCCTATTTATTTGTGTGCCCCGGGGCCCCCTTCAGCCCAAGCGGCGGCGGGCAGCGGAGGCGGGCCAACCTCCTCAAGACGGTCAAGGCGGCCATCCTGGACGAGCCGAGCGAGAAGGATGTTCCGGTCCAGGCGCCGGGCCGCGGCTCTCTCGCCCGGGCGTGGGGGGGGGGTGCGGCCCCGATCGGGGGCGGCGGCAAAGACGGGGGTGATGACACTACCGGGGGGGGGGGGGGGGCGGCAAAGACGGGGGTGGTGACACTACCGGGGGGGGGGATATCATCGGGGCCTGGAACATATACGCTGCCAGTGGCGGGCAGTGTCTCGATCCCAGGATTTTTGGAGGGTTGGGGAGGACGTCGGGGCGGGGTGGTGTAGACTTGCACCAGCGAAACATGTATACACCAGGGTGCCGTATACACCAGGATCCGCTTTCCTGTGCGAATTTCGGTGCAGGGCCCGAACCTGCGTCGGTGTATAGAGTTCGGTTCCCTATATCATGGCGTGGGCCATGCGGTGAGTCACCATCCACCCGCAGCATCCGCTGCTTGGCGTCGGTCGTGGCGTCGACACACTCTTCGGGGGCGGCAACGAGGAGGGTGATGACTAGGGACGGGCGGGATATCATGGCGTGGGCCATGATATTTCCCCAGGTTTCATGGCGCCTCTTCTTTTTTCATTGCGTCCCTGGCCCCCCCTTGGGCCGCGTACATGCCGCAGGCCATGATTTGCTCCCCCCCCTCTTGTAGGCCCCCCTCTTGGCCGCCCCCGACCCGAAGTCGGAGGATCGCGCCGCATCGCCGACGCATCGCCTGTGCGGCTCGATGTGGAGCCCGATTTGCTTTGCGTCGACGTCGCCGATGCATTGCCCACGTCGACGATGCATCGCAGGTGCATCGGCGATGCATCGGCGATGCATCGCCGATGTATCGGCGCTGCGTCGCGATCCCCCGACCTCATCTACTCCGACCCCATCTAGGAGGCCTCTCATTGATTTGAGCTCAAAGCTGCCATGGAAAACGTAAATCGTGCAGGGCAGCATGCGCCCAGTCCACAGCATGACAGACATACAAGCGAGTCAACAAAATCTAGGTTTTCGATCCCAGATCTTCAAGCTGTGGTGGCATGTTGTCCGCTCCAATCTTCTCTCTCGAAAAAAGTTGTCGATCCTAAATCTCCTTGTGGAGCGCCGCCGTCTAGATTTCGCACCGGAGACCGCCGAAGACAACTTCGAAGACCGTCGGAGACCGCCGCAGACTGCCGAAGACCGCCAGAAACACGCCGAAGACCGCCAGAGACGGCCCAGGGGCGAGGGGTAGCGAGGGGTTCTATCAGCGCCGTCAGTCTGATCCTACAGTGGAGACCCATGCCAAGAAGCATCCTGCTCGCCTCCAGGGTGCCCTGGGTTTCTTGGGTTTTGCCATGAATGGCGCGACGTTCCCACGCCAGAAACCAATGGACGTCCTGGGGTCAAGGTTGAGACGCAGGGCGAAAGAGCAAAGCGGTTGGGGATTTTGCTTTGTTGGGGACGTCCTGAACGTGCAAGTGTCGCTTCGCCCAGCAAGGTTGGTGTGAGAGCCTCGCGGGTGGCAGCAACGCCCCTTGCCTGGCACATTTGCCATGCCATGGCGAAAGAGAGGATGATTCCTTTGCAGGAAAGCCGCAGGTCTGACGCCTGGGGCCTCGAAGCAGCACCGGTCGTACCACACGAGGTCCACTGTGATCTTCTCTTGCGGCAGCGTTCGCAGACGGACGGCCCCCGGGACGCACAAGGAACCGAGCAGGAACGTGTCGGGAGGCGGCGATGGGGGGGCTCCTAGATACACCAGCGGCGCCGTACCGAGCGCGCGCAAGCAGCACCGAGGTCCGAGTCCAGTGCCGAGATCCAATTGAGCGACGCGAAAACACGGGGTCGTCTGCGCCGACATTGGCGCGTAAGCTGCTCGCGTAAGGTCGCGCGCAAGCGCCCTCGTCTCCAATGCAGCGTACTGTACCACGCTGCCGGCCCGCACAAGCCGCCGCGTAAGGTCGCTTCGTCATCTCGCGTAAGACCCCGACTTGATCTTCGCCCAATTGGGACCATCTCTTAGCGGTGGCCTGAGGGAGCCCGGGGAAACCACGGGTTCCCAGTGGTCTTCATCTGACGCGGATGGGATAGTGATAGGATTTTGGGGCTACCTGGATCACTCGCAAGTTCCCTCGAAGCCGAAAGGGCGGCGGCGCGAAAGGGCGCGGGCATAGACAGGTCCGAGGCACTGACAAAATCATTCCTTAAGAACCTCAAACTCTCTGCACCTCTGCAACTGCACATGCTGAGACATGCTGCCCTCATGCCACCCAGACGCCAGCATGCGTGAGGTCGCGGACGATGGCCTCGGTCACGGCCTCGAGCTGCAGCATCTCTCGACGCGGCCGTCGATGTCGGGATTCTGGCCAGCCGCCTCCAGCCACGAGGTGCGTGTGCTGATGGCGCCTGCTCCCTGCTCGAGCTCCGAGATCCGCTTCCAGAGACCCTCATCGGGAGCCCACTTGGCGGCTCCGCGGCGCACGCTCCTCGGTCTTCTGAACGAGGTGCTCAAACCAGGCCTGCTGCGCGTAGCCCGACGACGGGCTCAAGTGGGACAGGCACCAGTCACCGTAGCCACGCTCCGGAGTCCGCATATCGAAATTTCCTTGCCGTGTGCTCGCCGAGCGCGAGGGTGGACTCATCCTCCACCTCACCCCTACACTTGAGGCGCGCCTGGTGCAGGCGCTCGCTGGAATCCTGTCCGACAATGTCGGCGGACTGAGGCTCAGCCTTTGCTAGTTGCGCGGGGTCCGCGCTCGGAGCATTGCTCGGAAGGGAGGAGCTCACGCGAGTGGAAACGGAGGACAAGCCTGAGCCGTAGGGATGAACCAGTAAAGTACAGGAAACACGCACATACGCAATACATCACACAAGGCAGTGTCGCCACAGCAAAGGGTAGTATCTATACGTGAACCTGGCACGCAGTCCTAGTCGTAGATCTGGAGAACGCTCTAATTCGCACTGATCACGCAATCGCGAAGTCCCTAGGACCTGGTAGATTGTTCTTTCCGTTGTGCACCCCGTAACCTCCGATGTTCCCGTTCCGTGGTTTCTTCAATTCTAGAACGTGTTGGTCGTCCGCTAGTTGGTACTTCTTGGCTCTCATACAGGCCCGTAGGAGGTCTACATGGGCCCCTCTGTCCCCAGTCAAGGCGCCAGCCAATCGTCGATTGGTCGGGCACCACCGGAAGCTCGTTGCGCATTGCTATACCGATTCTTTGTTCACCACCGCGCTGATGGCACACCGTGTATCTATCTTCTAGGATGGCCAGGAAGATACGAGCTTTCACGTGGTCATGCAGGGACTTACTGTCAGTAACTGCGATGGGCTCCAGGGTGCTAATGCATGCGTCGTCGACATTGCCTGGGTCCACTGGCCCGTCGAGGGCCTCATACAGCATCAGGGACATCCACTTCAGTGCGGAACCACACGCTGAGGCTGCCTGAGCCTCGCCTGACAACGTAGTGGGAAGCAGTCGTTTTAGTCGGAATGATCGCCAGATGAACGGGGCCAACGGAGTTTCCTGACCACTTGCAATAGCTGTCGAGGTGAACGCCAATACTGCCTGAGTCACGCTGCTTCTCGCATTTCCCCATGCTGCGTCCAGATGAGCAATCATCGTCAGCTGGCCTGGCGTATGATCAAATCAGACACGGCAAGGTCGGCATATTGCTTTGCTCGCCGTACCATCGCCGCACTCTGTACCAGCTCAGCTACTGCTGGCTGTGGGAAGCATTCCTGTCTACAAGGCACCTGGCACGAGAGGCCGGATCGTGTCTTCTTGCAAACCCAACCCACATTTCCGAAGCATGACCGTTCCTGGGCAATTTCCGCATCAGTCGCAAGGGCCGTCGGGTGTCACAGTCGCTGTCGTGTAAATTGTATTGGTCTCATTTTCTCCACCAATTTAGCTGGACTTTCTTGGATGAGTTGCGTCGATAGGTCCTAGGTGTACATCGTACCGCAGATTACCCCCTTGTGTGTTTGCCATTTTGGAAGTGGGAACCGTTGTCGCAGCTGTCGGGTCGGATCGTTGTACCGTTCGCCACAGTCGCCCGTGCTATTGTCATCCGCGTAGCAAGCAAGCGTACCGACAAGGACGCATTGCTCACGTAGAAATTTCAGGCACGGGTCAACGCGACTAGGGCAAATAGCAAATCTGTCGGAGATACCTGTCGAACTCCTGGATATGGAGAGTCGTTTTTCCCAAAGGAGGTTCCCCTTTACTTCCAAACTCTTCCCCTCTCCGCATGGCCCGACACCTTTTTTGGGCGAAGCCGTGAAAAGCTGTTCCCGTTGTTTGATGTTCTTAGCCTTTGGGAAAGGACAGTGCGCATCGCCAAACTGTAAATCCCACTGATGGCTAGCCACCATCTGTGGGCACATGGCGCGTCCAACAGGAGTAATGGTCGGACTCTGAAGCTTGCCTTCCTGGATGAGATCGGGT